AGGAGGCTGGAGGGTCACTCACGTCGTGAGTTTTAAGATGCTCACGTCGTGAGCCAGCTGGATATAGCCAGGCACAGCCTGGTGCTGACACGTGGCATCGCACAAAGTGTGGAAATCAACCGATTTTCAAAAATTCATAACTTTCGCATACGATCTCCGTTTTCGACGTTCTTTATATCCATGCATAGGTAAAAATAAGATCTACAACTTTCATTTGGACTCCGTCGGCTAATTCTCGACCGATCTTAAATTTAACAGTAGGAGGAGATTAGATTGTTAAATGACCGCGAAGAATTCGTAAGTTCTTTATACGAACTCCGTTTTCGTCTGTCTTTTTACCGTTGAGTTCCTATTAATGAGATCTTCAACTCTCATTTAGGTCGCGTAGGCCAAAAACCGCTCGAACTAAAATTCGAGTTTCGGGCCGTGCACTGCTAAGCCAAATCTTAGAAAATTCATAACTTCCTCATACGAAGTCAGATTTGGGCGTTCTTTTTATGGATGTTCTCGGTTTAACATATTCTACGACTTTTGTTTAGATTACTAAGGCCAAAAAGTCTTCTATCGTAAATTCACTATTTACGTCTCCCGGTGCCGTGCCGGTTTTGCCGTAAAACTTCGACGGTCCATAACTTATTCGTTATAACTCGGATTTCGGCGTTCTTTATATGTACGGAACCCTTGAGACATATTCTACAACTTGGTTAATATTATTTATTCTAAATAATCTTTTGTCGGAAAGTCGTTTTCGACCCCTATTATCTCTAAATTGACTAGCCCGGATCTACGGGCGTTACAGAGAGAACCATGGAAGCAACGTAGGAGAAGAAAGAGGAGAGTCGTCGGCCCTGTAGGAGAAACCGATTACTGGGACTGCCCTAAGTAACTTAAAATAGCTAATTAGAACGGTGAAGGTGGAGAGGAGTTAGATGTAAATAGAGGGTGTTGTGGGTGAGGGTTGCGATCTTCAGATCGTGAAGAAGAAGGAGATCGTGGACAGGAAGGAAAACCAGAATAAAAACCTCCGTGAAATAACCGTAAATAAGGAGTTTATGTGGTTGTAATTTAAAGTTGAAGAGATCCAAGGGTTCAAAATGAAATAACGGTTATTTGTGACCCGATGTTAGTAATAATAATAATTACTTTTGACTTAAAACACACCGAACTAAAATTCTTAATTCATGAAAGAAGTCTGAAACATCAATTTTTTCTATTTTACCCTTTGACTCCAAGACACAAACCAATGCTTCAATCACTTATCCAACATTATCATCATCCAATAAGGTCTCAACCCCATTCCCTTGAAGCCCAAGGCCTTTACTTGATCCATATATTGTCCACAATCCTGAAATAAGAAACTTCTCGAAACAGGATGTTACAGGGTTGATGGTGAATCAACTATCAACTGAGAGCCAAAGATACCAGTGGGGGGGTTGGGGTGAACAACCAAGATTACTTAGGGTTGATGGTGGATCGACTATCAACTGAGAGCCAAAGATACCCGGTCGGATCGGTGCGTGCGCTAGGAGCCATTATTTGTATGCATTGTATGTGTATTGTGGTATGTGGTATTTTGGGAAACTCACTAAACTTTATGTTTACAATTGTGGATTTAATGTTTTTCAGGTTGTTCTCTAGATTTTGGGTGGGCTCTAGCTTGACTATACAGTACACGCATCACAGATGATTATGACTTCCACTATTTATAATTGATATTATGTTTCCATAACTTGGTTTTAATATAGTTGACACTATGATTTCACAATGTTTTGAATTAACTTATCACTCTAATCTTTTATGAAAATAATTTGGATAAACTACTTATTGTTTTTTTAGAAGAAAATTTTGGTTTGAAAATTGAGCTGTTACATTGCAGTTTTACATTTTTTAATGCTAGAGAAACCTTTCTGACATATTGCATCAAGCCTCTGCTGAAAATATGAAAATCAATTTTTTATATCATTAACAATGCGTAAAAATAATTTTGTCCTCATTCGGAATCGACATCTAAATTTTTCAGTGTAGACTGCATCGTCGTTAAAGTAGTCACTCACAAGTTGGTTATGTCTGACTTCATGATTTCTCTGTAAGGAGGATTTCTAATTTTGGAATGTGAACTTGAGGCTTCATTTTTTTGTAAATAAGCTAATGTTGTTCGCATAACGTCCCCGCTAAATGTGGTTTCCCGCAATGCCAACGTATCCGACGAAGCGGATGACGGTGAAGACATTTTGGGTTTGTAAATCTAAGTATATAGAAGTGTTCGGTTTTTGTTTTGTGGTTTAAAATGTGAAATGTTTGTGTTTATTTATAAAATAGAAAAAAATAAACAAAAAAAATTGAAATATACTCATTAAAAAATGAGGTAACGGACATGAAGAAAGTGCGGTGGAGCTTTTTCATGCGGTACCATTACTGTGCCTATCCACCTCAGACGGTGTCGTGTTCACCGCACCACTGCGGTGACACGTCACCTACCGCAGTGTGTGGAAACCCCATACAGGTCTAATAGAAGATACAGTAAATTACAGTTTTTGGTCCATGCGGTATACGCGAATCTACATCTTTAGTCCTAGTTTTGGAAATTTAACACCATCGTAGATGGAAGGATAATGTAATTAAAGACCACATAGATTGATGAAATCGACAACCTTTGGATACTAATATAGGGCTGTTAATCTGGTCAACCTGATCGAGTTTCAAGTTAAACGGGTTTGTTAGTTGGGTTTTTTTTTTTAATATCTTTTGGACCCTAACTGTATTATGGTATGGGTTAGTCGGGTTAAAATATGAAATGAATTAATGTTGTGCCACTTGTATAAATAACTAACATGTATAGAAACTTAAAATGTAAGTGTTAAAAATTATACGTGGTCACATTCATATAATCACGTTCACATACACCATATCGTACTTTATATACATAAAACCATAACTATTAAACACAAAATAAAACCAATAAAATAACTTGCATTTCATGCAATAAATGTTATACTTTTTTTCTTGAAATTACTTGAAGTAATTACATTTCCATTGTCAGAGCAATAATAGATAAAATTATAAAATTAAGTTGGTGTGCAATCATATATGTAGCCTTACAGTAAGAGTAATAACATCAAATGCTTTTTTTGCATTGCTTTAATTAATTGACTTGTAGTTGGTGTACAATTACATATGCATGAGTTTGTGTTTGCGAATTGCAAAGATGAGAAAAAAAAATCACCGCTTTCGGATATGCTTGAAGGAAACATAGAGAAGGGAGTACAAATTGATAAGGCATATACATGGGGCTTAAACGTTAGGTTAATCCGAAATCGAAAAGAGTAATGAAATCTACCTAAAACCCGACCCTATGTATACTTCGGGTTAACCCAAATTACATTTTTGACCCTATTAAACCCGACCCTATTTGTCTTATTCGAGTTCGAGGCGAGTCAGATTAATCGGGTTCGGACATTTTACCTAGATACCATTAGTGATAAAGCAATAACACTGCACCAACAATAATCAAGAGTGTGACTCCTTGCGTGTATAGAACACTCAAACTAGTTTCATAAACTGCAACATTATACAGAGGCTGGAAATTCATTCCCAAAGCAAACATCTGATTCTAGATTTGAAAAAAGAAAAAGACTAGGGAATGAAAAAGAGTTGGCAAACATTAAAGAACTATAAGTTGAACTCATAACTCAAATAAATATCAAACAAATGAGTTTAATATGTAAAAGATTTGGTGATCTTCATGGGCTCTAAGATGCCCTGCATGATATGACATGACAGACTGTACTGCGTTTGGCGAGCACCGGACACAGAATGAGACTACTGTAAGATTTAAGGTGGAACACGATGGGACAAATATTCACTCTCGATCTCTCATGCATGCAAAAGACGCAAATGCCCTCTCCTCATCCTCATTATAAATAAAAAAAGCTCGAGAAAGCTTGTCATGCTTGAGGATGCATTGGAAGCAAGATTTAACTCATTGCTCTCTTCGGGATCTTTCATTGAACTTTCATAATGTAAAGTTTCTTCAACCCTAAGCACAAGAAAATCAAATCAAAACAATTCAATCAGGAACGGAAGAATCTCGGGTAGAAGCAAGAAATAGCAATATACTTTAGTAACTACAATATTTTTTTTAAAAAAACTTTAGTATAAAATTATAGGTTGAAAGCCAAAAATAGCAATATACTTTTGTTGATTTGCTTATTATAGCATCCTACTTTCATTTCTTTCTATTATAACATTGTACTTTGAAAATCTATCCAATTATAGCAATGTTTATCCAAATACAAACAATTTTGTATGCTATATTTGGATAGACTTTTCAATGTATAATGTCATATTGGAAGGACAATGCTTTTATTAGGTAGATTTTTTCAAAGTACAATGTTTTAATAAAATAACTTAATGTACAATATTGTAATAAGAAATGGAAGTACGATGCTATAATAAACAAATAAATGAAACTATGTTGCTATTTCTCGCATTTTAATCCTACTATCATAACCTACATAATTTTGAACCTAAGAAAAGGAACAAAAATGCTTGGCTTTTATAGGAAAAATGATCTAGCAAAGAGTATGCATAATAGGCTAAATGCAAGAAACAACAAAGTACTTTCATTTATTTCTATTACATCATCTTACTTTCAAAAAAATACATATTAAGACATTCTAATTTAAATAATTTACCCTCTTATTATACTAACAATATTTTCTTATTAGCACATTATACTTTGAAAAAGTCTATCCAGTTACAGCAGTCGACTCCTTTCTATTTTGATGAAATAGCTTTAATTGAGTAGATTTTCAAAATACAATGTTGTAATAAAAAGAAATGAAAGTAGGATGCTATAATAAACAAATCAGTAAAAGTAGGTAGCTATTCCTTGCATGTGTGTATAAATATATATATATATATATATATATATATATATATATATATATATATATATATATATATATATATAGAATCTATTAAGTAGAGAAAATTACCCTTCATGAGCAAGACAACTTCTTGTTCTTGCCTTTCACAACATTGGTATTCACCACATAACCTTTTAACTTCATCTCAATATATAAAAATTCAAGCAATTTATAAATTTCTTCTGAATCAATATGTAAATCATCACCAACACGAAACTCTTGAATTTGACCATGAACTTCAATCCAACTAGAACCAGGAACTTTGGTGACACCCTTTTCTCTCATAAGTAATCTCATTTTAGCCGAATCATCCCACCTATTTGAATTTGCATATATTTTTGATGAAATCACATAATTCCAAGAATTTTTAGGCTCAATCTCTAATAAAACCTTCATCACCTTTTCACTAACATCTAAATTTCCAACTTTCTGACACGCTCCAAGCAATGCACCTAATGTAATTTCATCCGGTTTTTCAGGCATTTTTTGTATAAAATCCCATGCTTCATTTACCAAACCTGCCCTTGATAAAAGATCCACCATGCAAGAATAATGCTCGATTTTAGGAACCAATTTATAAGATGATGTCATCAAGTCAAAGAATTTACGCCCTTCTTTCACCATTCCACCATGAACACATGCAGATAAAACTCCCACAAATGTTACATCATCAGGGAAAACCGACATTCTGTTAAATAACAATATTGCCTCTTTTGCCCTTCCATTGAAAGCAAAAGCAGAAATCATGGCGTTCCATGTGACAATGTTCTTGAAAGGCATGTTTTCAAAAACTTGAAATGCATGGTCTACACTCCCACATTTAGCATACATGTCAATTAAAGCAGTGGCTACATATATGTCTTGTTGTAGACCATTTTTTGATGCATATTCATCTATTGATTTACCAATATCAAGAGCACCAAGCGATGCACATGCGGATAGAATTCCACTTAATGTGATATTATTTGCTTTTACGCCTTCTTCTTTCATGATGTTGAAGATTGAAATTGCTTCATGTGATAATCCACTTTGCGCATACCTGTCATGTAAAGATTAAAAAAGTGAGATTAACGTTTTTTGTTTCTTAATTGAAGAAGCATAAATGAAAAACACTTACCCTGTAATCATGGAGTTCCAGGTCACTAAATCTTTCTTTGTCATTTTATCAAAAACCCTCCTTGATGACACCAAATCCCCACACTTTGCATACATACCAATTAAAGATGAACCAATAAAAGAATTCACCTTCATTTTATTATCCACAACATAATCCTCAATAAGCCTCCCCAAACTCAAATTTCCCAAATCCCCACAAGCCCCAAGAACACTAACTAAAGTCATTTCATTCGGCTCAAATCCTTCACCTTTCATTTTCTCAAACAATTCCAAAGCACCCGTTGGACAACCCATCTGTGAATACCCAGAGATCATTGAGTTCCATGACACCAGATCTCTCTCATGAATTTCATCAAACACCTTCCGTGCACAACTCAACGCACTGCACATGGAATACATGGTGATCAATGAATGCCTCACGTGACAATCCACCATTAAGCCACTTCTCAACGCCATACAATGACCTAATCTACCGTGTTCAAGCGCCAATAGATTTGAACACGCGATAAAGAAAAACGGGTACGTGAAATTATTGGGCTTTATGCCTAAACCCTTCATCTTATAATAGAGTTCTAAAGTAAGATCAAACTTCTTCCAGGACGTTGCTAGGCCACGAATCATGACATTGAAAGCATAGTCATTTGGTTCGTGCATTGATGTGAATAAATGGTAGGAGTAATCGAAATCTTTTAGATCAATAATCTTGGCAAGTAGGAAATTGAGTTTGTCTACAGAGTGTATGAGCATTTGGGTGTGAATTTGTTGAACTGTTTTGGTTGAAACACATTGCTTTAAGATGATCAATAGTCGCTCTTTAAGAGGCTGCTGTTGCTGCTGCCATTGCAGTTGCTTCTGAAAGCTGAGTTGGCGGGAAAAAGTGGTAGTTTTTCTGAGCATGTTTTTCAAGCAGATGTGGTTGATCCGAAAGAGAAAGCAACTACAGAATAAGCCTTGTTCTATATGATCTTTCCTTTATTGCTTACGATCTTTACATGCAACAACAATACTAGAATCTTTCAAGTTTGAACGATATAAATAGCAAGTAATTATGCACAATTTTATTTACTTTTAATCTTTCGTTATGAATTTTATAGATATATGAAATTTAGGGTTTGTTTTGTACTTTTTAAATGTTCAATGGTATCAACTTTGAAAATCTTAAACTTATTATTTTAAGCAAAAATTATAAGGTTTCCAAGTAATCAATTTTGTAAATGTCTGTCTGTGAAATCACCCAAAGGCGTCGTTTTTAAGAAAAAAATCAATTTATTTTTGCAGGACTATGGAAAAGCAAATGCAAAAATCTTCAAAGACCTTTTCCACAACAAAAAAAATTGTTTTATGTTGTACTTTTTGACCTACAAAAATAAAAAATAATAAAAATTGAATGTTTTTATGGTAAAAGTCTGATTAGCATTTAGCTAAATTCTTAAGTTCTTAGCTCTGACCTGCGGGAATTCAAAAAAAAAAAAAGTACGTTTTTATGGTAAAAGTCTTCAAAGAATACTACACAGCAAAAATAGCTTTAAATGGTGTGAAATGAAATTATTATGAAGTTGTTTAGAGAATTTTCATCCAAAAATAATGTAAAAGTGAATAAAATGAGAAAATTATGCCTAATATATGGGGAGCTGGGGAGCATTCAAGGCCCATTTTGTAGCCTAATAAGGTTTTCTTCACAGCTCAATACGACCTTTCCTTATATCTAGAGGTGCACAAAAAAACTGGTTCATGATCCGAAACCTGTTTTGAATCCGAATCCGATCCGCTCCTAAACCGGTTCGGTTCCTATCCAATCTGGCGATTTGAACCGGTTTGGCAATATTACCTTTAACACCGGTTTTCCAGTAAACACAACTAGCTGTGATGATTTCATGTGAAATAGACATTTAGCATCAAACATCATACTCACACAGTGAGTTTTGTTTGAAGAAAATATCCTTACTTACAAAACCATATACAACAACTAATGCACACATTGAGTTTTGTTTGGAGATTATATTTATATGGTTACTTACATAACATCAATTTCCAGCCATGTAGTTGGTATACTTGGTGTCATAATGTTCAAAGTCCGAGATATAAGCAACACGAAGGGAGCTGTTGGTTAATATTGTTAAGCTCAACAAAAGGATTAATGGTTGTTTTTAATTTGGAGCATCTTATTAGAAGTATCAAATGTACAAAAAGATGAAAATGGCCTCCTTTGACATGTCTGCTTTCGGGTGAAGGTTATGTTGGTGTTAACTTGGATCATGTTGAAATACAAGCAAAAGAGATGGTGAAGACCTTGAAATGCTGCCAGAATCTCATGATCGGTTCCACATTTGGTACAATCTACCGGTTTCACCCAAACCGCTTATGATCCGGTTCGTATAGGTTCAGCTATTTTCCGGGTTGAAACCGATCCGGTTCTTGGTCCAATCCGGTTTTGACTTCGTTGACTAGAACCGAACCGGTTTCTGAAATAATCTGGTTTGTTCACCTCTACCCTTATCCATTGATGACTATTGTTGGTATTTGGCTTTTTCTTTCTTGAAAGTGGTAAATGAAAGTCATTTTGGAATGGTATTTATATCGGCAAATGCCCAAAAATTAGGTCATTTTCCAATATCTTCCAAAAGCATGTAGTTATTCTTTGAGGATAGGATTAAAATGTAATTAAAACGGGGGATAGAGAGCAATACTACAAAAGATAAATAAATGTTGATGAATAATAAATAAGTAGTTGATGAATAGTAATTAAAAAAAAAATGCACTCCAAAATTATTAAACGGATGAAAAAATAGTAGTAAGTTCTGAATTAAAGAATTTCCATTCCAGAACTATAAAATATAATAAGTTGCATATTTTGTTTGGTAGATTCATTATGAATCCTCATTTCGATTAAGACTTCAACTGATATCTGACCCAAAAAATATGAGACAGAAACCTGCTCTCTATATCTCATTCTACATAAAAGACATGAATACCCTTCTCAAAAAAAAAACCAAGAAACTTTGTTAGCCACATTGGAAATTGTTGTTTCTTATAGCATACAGAACAACAATAAAAAAAACATGGTACAAAAGTTGAGGAACACAAGAAACGCATGCATATCCAGCTTCAGATTTATGTCATCATCTACTTCTAACAAATCACATCAATGAAGTCGTGTATTATATGTGCATGTCTTCAAAATTTTCCACATAACATGAAATGAACTACACGACAGATTTTTTTAAAAAAGAAAAAAGGAAAAAAAGGTTTGTGATTTATGTTTTAGTTATCATAATCAAAGTCATCATCCCCATCAGCATCCACTTCGGTATCATCAGATCCACCAAGAAGACTAAGAAAAACTAAAACAGCAACCAGCTGAGTCACCAAGAAATACTTTGCTTTTCTTCTGAAATTCTTCTCTTCCTCTGTCCTCTCCCTCTTCGGTGGTTGACTTTTCGGCTTCGAACCTAGGGGTAAAAACGTCCACATTTTAGTATTACTACAAATCAAACAGATTAAAAAATAAAAGTAGATTGCAAATTTGGTCCCCTGTGTTATACTCGAAATTGCAAGTTTTCTCCATCTTTTATTATTCTTCCCAATGTTGGATTTGGTCCCTGTCTTTACTAAAAATTACAAGTTTGGTCCAATTTTTAAAATCTTCCCGAAGTCGGTATTAATTTTGCATTTCATCGTGGGCTTAATCCCTCTGTGAATGAAATGCTAGTCTTAAAAGAAAGAGTAAATTACATTTTTGATCCCTGGCCCTGAGTATAGCTGTTTTTTTTCTTTCAAATTTGGTTCTAAAAAGTTATCTCTTGCACTTTTGGTCCTTATTTGAAGTTTTCATAACGTTTTTGGTCCTTGCTTCAAGTAGGACTATATTTTTAAACCAAAATTGCATAAATCAGCTATACTCAGGGACCAAAAGCGTTACAAAAACTTTAAATAGGGATCCTCATTTAAGTTGGTACTTTTACTTGAAACAAGAACCAAAAACGTTATAAAACTTCAAATAAGAACCAAACTGCAAGAGAACTATTTAGGGCTAAAATTGGAAATTTTCAGCTATACTCAGGGATCAGAAATGTAATTTACCCTTTCTTTTAAGAATTGATTTCACTGTCAAAGGAACTAAATCCACAACGAAATACAAACTTAGGGACGACTTCGGGAAGATTTCAAGAAATTTCTCTTGCAATTTTGATCCTTAGTTATGGTTCTTGTAATGTTTTTGGTCCTAAACAGTCTTCTCTTGAAATTTTGGTCCTTACTCCTTATTTGGAGTTTTAAAACGGTTTATGTCCTTGTTTCAAGTAGAAGGATTATACTTTTGGGACCAAAAACAGTGATTTTACCTGAACAGGGACCAAAAATGATACAAGAACCTTAATAAGGATCAATATTGCAAGAGAACATTTTTTGGGATCAAAATTCAAAATAGTAAAAATCAGTCAAGCTCAGGGACCAAAATGTAATTTACTTAAAAAGAAATAGAATCGAACCAAACTTGCCAACTAGCATAAAGCACAGGGACCAAATCCTCAAGAAAATAGACAACTTCAAGAAGTTTTCAAAAGATGGACCAAACTTACAATTTTGAGTGAGACAAAGGGACCAAATTTGTAATTTACTCTTAAAAGAATTAGCAAAAAGAACAGGCGAAACGGATTAAAAATCACCCATTAGGACTCATGTCTTTACAGCTTCTATATTGCTTTATTAAACAATGGATCATTTTGTTAATGATGGCTTTTTTAATCATATTTAATGTATTAACTAATTATGAAATTATATTTAAAAAAAAACTTACTCCAATTTGAAGGTCCTCGTTTGGGTATAGATGATGATGATGATGATGATGGATCTGAAGAAGATGATCCAGAATCCAAAAGTTCAGCTTTATGTTTGTCAGCATATAACACAAGATTAGGTTGTTCCAACAGTTTGCCACGAAGCATTGATGTTTCCTAAAAGTAAAAAATAATTGATATAAAATTACAAAATTTGAAGCTAAAAAATGCGTTGTGAACATGAATTTATTAAATAATGGCAACTTTAAGTGAAACTAAATTCATTAGATTTGGACTTGTACATCAGTAAAAGAGTTATATAATTGAAGAACAAAAATAAAGGAGAAAAAACAAAACCCAATCATATATAAACACCAAATAAGTTGAAAATCAACACTTTCTTGAGGTATGAAAGATGATAAGATTTACTACCTCCGTCCCAAATTAATTGTACACTGATGAAGCATAGTTGATATAAGAAAAACAAACAAGAACATAATAAAATATAACTACTAAAGGTTGATACTAACCGGTAATGCATAAAGTGTAATAAGTGCATGCCCAAGAAAAATAGCATCCAAACTAGTTGGCCTGCATTACATAACAAGGCAAAAACATTAAAGACTTGCTGTTGTTGCAGTGATTAAGTTAAAATGAAAAGATTTTGGATAAAAAAGTAGGATGTGAAAACTCAAAACTTGCCTGTTATCAAAGAAAAATGACTCTTCACCTAACTTGGTTGATAAAGCTTGGTAAGCAATGGTAGCTCTCCTATATATCTGTCACAAAAAGATTCATCAAAATTGAGTATTAGTTATAATTATAAACACAAAACAAGGAAGGAATGATTAGATAAAGAATCATTACCTCTTCTTCCCTTCTTTCAGCTGTGTCTTTTGAAATTCCAAGTAACTGTTTCACATTGTATACTTGTTTAAGATATAACAGCTTTCCTATTGGCCATGGGAGATCAGAGTAATAGATCTTGTTTGCAGAAGTTCCATCTGAACCTACCCAGAGCTCGTACAAGATTGCATCTAAAAGCCATGAATTAATCATTGCAACTATGGATACCCATTCGGGAAGGCTTTGGACTTCTAAGTCCAGATTGACGATATTATCTTCTTTTAAACTTTCAATTACACCACCCTTCTCATTGTTGTAAGCAACGTATGTATCGGAGTCAACATAAGGAATTTGATCTGAATGAAACAAAAACACGTCTCAACTGAACATCAACCAGCATCGTTCCATATGTAGCAGCAATTTCATTATTCACTTATGAAGTTTGAAATCCATATATTAATTGTGAAGTGAAAACGAATGTTATGTTGATTGAAAAAGTGAAATGCACCCGTTTTGACCTAAAAACGCAATGATTTTTTTTCATTGATTCGATTAGAACAATAAAATCAGCACATTACAAGCATATAAAGGCCACATGATCATCCAGAGATGTGCATATAATAGATTGGAATTGAAATTACATACCGGAATCAGGATAAGTGAGATTGTAACACAAATCGAAAGGAACATTGGCGAATTTGAGATAGATGTAGACAGGCAAGCACGAAGGACAAGCTGTTGGCAGACTAAAACATGGTTTTCTAGTGACTAGAGTCAGATGTTGCCGCTCTTTTTGAATCACTTCATCCATCAGTAACCAGAATCTATGAGGAAGAAGACGAAGTGTAAAACCCTAATTTAATAAGGTTGCTTGATAGGAACCAGATTTAGATAATATCATATTCGGACCCTAAGAAAACAACTGCGTCAAACTGGCCCTAAAATTGTTAAATCTTATAAAAGATCTTTTTTAGTGTTTAAACTAACAAAAAAAATCAAGAAAGCGCCCATATTAATTTAACTTTTTTTTTTCTATTTTTATAATAAGTTTATCCATGATTTTTCGGTAATTGACAATAATAAAAAATTTGAAGAAAAAACCTAGCTTTTTCTTTTAAAAAAAACCACCATATTTAACAACTTTTTGGTTTATTTTGATTCATAATTCTCATACTTTTTGTTCTTATCGTTATTGTAGTGTTCTTTGTGGGGTTCAACATTAAAGTCGAAGAAACCATTAGATTGTTTTCCAAACAATGAGAGAAGTTGTTGAGATTAGATCAATAACAACCTCAATATATGCATTTGAGATTTAATTTTTTTTCCCATCAATAACCATATAATAATAGCATAGTTAGCAATCTCTTAACTATTGCAATACATTCATTTTCAAATTAGCATGTGCAAAACTTCATTTAGCAAATGTTTCACCCTCTACACTTACTAGTGGACATAGAACCTTCGGTCTTCAAATTAGCAAACATGAAACCATTTGTGATATGATTTCATCCAAATTAACAGACACGTTTAGTAAACACATTTACAATCAAACATTCATCTTCCTCACGAAGAACACCATAAGCAACAATATAAAAAAAATAACATGAGAATTATGAGCTAAGAAATGGTCAAAAAGAAAAATGTTTGTCACATGTAAGGTTTTTTTTTTAAAGGTTACCTTTTTTAGAAAAAAAATCTATCAAATACTGACAATAAATCTACTATAAGGGCCAAAACGAAAAAATTGAAAAAATATGAGGGTTTTTATAATAAAAAAGTTTAGGTTTTTAACAAAGGAATCATATATGAAAGGTGTTTTTTTTTTAATATTAAACCTTCGAGTAATTTCTAAGGTTAGGTTTTAAACAGTCGAACAAATGATCCTGCCAAAAAACAATAAATCAAACAAGAACCATGCAATTAGGTCATATCAAATTTCTAATGGTATCTAATTTATACTATGTACGACCCTACGACATTCACTCAACGATCAACCAATACTAACAATACCACATCCAAACAAAATATAACATCCCAAAATTTCCGAGTAAAAATTTCATTTTAAATAAGTCAAAATCATTCATTCATTATCCCAAAAGACGATTATAATAAAAGTATTCTAAAAACATCACAGTAAAATCATAAACAATCAATGCGGAATAAATCTCCAGGGGATGTAGTGCGATCAAAGCGACCCTTCCTTTTGAAACCAGAAGTACCTGAAAATATTTTAAACATAAACCATAAGCACGAAGCTTAGTGAGTTCCCCAAAATACCACATACAATACATATATCCATACATCGGGCCCCGCTCTGCATCCATCGGGCCTCGCCCGGTATTCATCGGGCCCCACCCGACCTCCATCAGGCCCCATCTGGTACAGACTTGTCAGTAACATACGATGGGCCCCGCCCAACACACTCATCAGGCCCCGCCTGACAATTGGCATCGGGGCCCCGTCCGACATACATACAAGCACATACACTACATGCAAGAGTCACATAGACAGCTAGCATTCTAGTAACAATAATCTATGGGCTGACATTGGTGCCAAAGTGTGGTGAAAAACTTTTTTGATCAGTCAAAGACTTAAGGATGTCAAGGGTAACGTTTTTGCGAAAAACTTTATGCCACAGTGTGGCGGGTTGCTGGCCACAGCATGGCCACGTCAGTTAAATGAAGAGCGTGCCTGGTTGATCACCACGACGTGGCAAGAAGGTGACCACGACGTGGTCGCTTTTGTAGCTCAAGCCCAAGATTTTAGGGTTTCTTCTATATTTAAAGGCATTAATCCTTGGATTAGGTCATCCCTTCATCCTCCATCTTCCCATCTCGAAATCCTAGCCTCTATTCATGATTATGAGCGTGTTTTCTTGGTTTTAGAGCTTGTTCTTTAGATTTTATGAAGCTTGAGGAAGAAGGGACTCCATATTGGTGCATAGAAGGAAGGAGCTAGCTTAGATCCATCATCTCCTTCATATTTCTATGTCTTTTGAGGTATAAAACTTGCACCTTGACCTTTGTTCTTTTAGATCCAAGTTTTATGCTCTTTTTGGATGGTTTTGATCCCTTTCATGGATGCTCTTAGAGTTTGAGGAACTCTAGAGCTTAATATGACACTCTTGAAATCAATGGACTTCTTTTAAGTGAGAAAAAGGTTAATGTTTGGGAGTTCTTGATCCCATGCACAAAGACTTAGCCTTTAAGAGAGCTTATTGGACTTAGGGTTCAAGATTTTGCTTTGTGGTGGTGTCTTAATGGATAAAGTTGTAAACTTTATCCATTAAGTCCTGAAGAAGAACCAGATATGAGGTTAAGAGCTTTGATCTGTAAAGATTAAGCTCTTAATCAAGAAATAACTTTCTGGCCGAAACCATTAGGGGTATTGATCGGGTAAATTTTTCGGGTTTCGGGTAATTCGGGTTTTTCATATAAAAAAAATTACCCGTTACCCTACCCAAATTAAATTCGGGTAATTCGGGTTTGGGTAATTCGGATAATGGGTCGGGTAAGGGTAATTAGGGTATTACCCAATTTTTAAATTTTTTTTTTAATTTTTTAATGGCACCTAAAAATAAATGTAATGAAATAAGTATGTCGTGCTAAACTTTGAACATTGAGATTTTTTACTCAATAATATTTGAGATATCAAGTATCCGTTTAACAATTTAATCAAATCTAATAAGATGTTAAAATAACAAATACTTAAAGAAATAATAACAACCAAAGTCTACCATTTAAATTACTTGATATCAATGTATATGCATGTATTTTGCATTTACCAAAAAACTCACGTCTTAAATCTAGAAAACATAGAAAACAATATTTCAATACCAAAATTGCCCTGGTGACATTCTTTGAGGATAAGTTGGAGTGTTTCAGTACCATATTTGATTCACCCATCCCTGATGACATTCTTTCATGCCATTTACAGTCTGCAATTTCTCATTTTACATTGCATCTAACAGAAGCAGCCTCTTAAATCTTTAAATTTTACACAATACCAAAATTGCCCTCCCTCCCTTCCTTCCTTTTGTGTGTGCTGTTTTTGTAAACATGATTTGGTAATTAATTATTGGTATCACAGTGAACTAGGTTTTGCCCATATAGCATGACTTTGAATTAGATGATATGTTTTGTGATCAATGTAAGTTGTTGGTGCTCTGTTGAGATGAGGTGACGACTGATGCAAAGTTTATTATCATGTGTGGCTAAGTCATTAGAACTCCACATTGTAGTTTATTCTTCTTATTTTGATTCACGTATTTATTTGAAATTCCAAACAGATTCTGATTCATGAATAATTAAGTAAAGGGACGAAATCACGAAATTTAACTGTAAAATAAAAGAAATTGGTAGTTATCACTTACATTCAAGCCAAGTTTGAACTTCAAACTTTGAATTCCAAATATCCTGGAGGTGACGAATGGTGAGGATGACTGCGAGGTTGCGAGGCTGTGACGAGCGACGGGCGACGACCAAGACCGGCGACGAGGCGGGGTCGACCGGCTTTCGGCTGGAGTTGATCGGTGATGAACGAAGATGCGATGCGACTTGCGAGGGTTTTTTGACGAGAAAATAGAACGAGGGAGGCAAGGTGCTGGGATTTGGAGTTTTGGTCTTTTGGGAATCGGATAATTAACTCATATAGAAAATAAAAGATATTGGGTCATCATTATTTGTTTAATAAATTTTCGGGTAATCGGGTATACCCGAAACCCCAAACACTTACCCTTTACCCGACCCCAAAAAAACCGGGTTACCCAAATACCCGAAAACATTTACCCGATTCCCGATTTACCCGACCCAGTTTACCTGATACCCGAAAAAATCAGGCGGGTAATTCGGGTAACGGGTATTTTCGACGGGGCTAGAAACCATGGCGTGGCCAAGGAAGGCCCATGGCGTGGTGGCGAACTACATCACGAATGTTTTGCCTGGACTTGGCCACGACACGACCAAGGACTTACCACGGCGTGATGGTCGTTGACCGTTGACTTTTTACCGATTTAACCTTGGGTTAAAATTGAAGGATTTGGGTTGTAGACCGAGGTCTTATCTTTATTTGGCGTTAGACTATTCGTGAGACTAATCAATGTAAGGAGTTGAGAATGTTGTTGTGTTTTTATGGTTTTGCGATTCAGGTGGGTTTCCTCACTTTACTATGTGTTACGATGTATATCATTGCATGGTAGGATATAAGGGAGTAACTGTATGTTGGTTAGAGTACTAGTAGGTTGGTGAATGTTAAATTGAATGCCTTAGTGGTTTATGTAGTCATGTAGGACAATCTGAGAACTCTTGATTTAGGCTTTCTTGCTTGTTACTTGTTTGGTTGTGGCTTTAGAGTAGGATCACCTGTTCGACTGTCTATCCTACCTCTAATTACATAAAACTATGCATCCATTTTGTGATTTTCCAGTTATAGTGTAGGGTGTTGTATGAGACCCCTGTATGTTATGGTGGGTTGTTAGACAAATTGATTAGTGTGGACATGTGCTTGTGTTGTTGGATTGTTGTTTGTTATATATGTCGACATATGTTGTAGTAGGTTGAGCGGTCCTGTTTTTTACGGTAGGCCAAGATACTCGGGTGGACCAACGATGTGTTGAAGGCTAGGTGCGGACCAGTTGTATGCTGAAGGCGAGTAGGGCGGATCAAGGACTGAAGACCATTGTGTGTATGCTTGTATGTATATTATGGTGTGTGGTATTTTTGGGGAACTCACTAAGCTTTGGCTTACAGTTGTGGATTAAATGTCTTAGGTACTTCAGATTAACGTGGGAAAGCGAATACATGACTGTACACACATCGACAACATCCACAACTTGTGATTCCGCGCTTATGATCATACGTTGATTTTGGAATGTATAACTTTTGGAACAAATGGTTTCTTTTATATGAGATTAAAATTGAA